GGGCTTAGCTGTGGGTGGACAGCAGGCCTGGTGCTGGAACAGGGGAGGGCTTCCCTTGCCTGCTGTCATTCGGAATGCACTCTGAGCCTAGCAGAGACCTCTGGTTGTGTTGCTTTAAGCCTGGATTCAGTAACCCTAATGTGCTTCCTGAATACAGAGCAGAATTGGAGACTCTTACACAGGACTTTGCAGGGGAAAGTAAGGATAGGGTATATCATTCTGTAAATCAAACATCACTGGATTCCTGGCTCTTCCCATCTTGCCTTGCCTTAATGAAAGGAACACACCACTTTGAAACCAGCAGAACTAAGTCTGAATCCCATCCAGGTCCTAATGAGTCACTTGGCAAATGATGTCACTCCCCTTTTTTCTTCACCTGCGAAATGGAGCCAAATAATTATAAGTAAACCAAACTAGAGAAACATACAGTCATTTGGGCTCTAGCTGTGCGCATTCATTTCACCCCCATCTAGTAAGCACGTTCCCTGTGTTGGCCCTACACAGGGAGAGTGGCAAAGGAAAGTCACGGCCATCCTAGAGCGCATGGCCTGGAGGGGACACAAACTCAAGCCACGGGGCAAGCCTCAGATGTTCTCTCTGTTTCTCCACAGCAGAATTCAACTTCTTTTTGAAGATCTGTCCTACCTGGGGTCAGAAACTTCATCTCAGTCATTTTCTCTAAGGTCGTGTGATTTCAGCGAAGCGTTCTGGTGCTCTTATGGGTGGTAGGCAAATAATCTTGTCATCAGTGTCACCATTTGTTCACACTGTGCAATGCTTGCTACACTCATGGGCCTTGGTCACTGCAGGTCGTCAACTGTAAGGCCTGGCTGCAAGCTGTTCTCCAGTTGCCAGCCCTCTTTACCACTGCCTGCCCCCACCCTCTGTCGTTCTTTCCCTCCCTAAGCCACATTCCATGCTGCAACCAGGGAGAGCTATCCAAAGCTCCAAATGGCCTTGTACCATCCTTGCTTCAAACCTTGCCCTCCAGTGACTTCTATGCTCTTCCAGCTGTACAAGCAAGCCCTTGTTTGCCACCCCCATTCTTCTCTCAACACTCTTTGGCCCATGCCCACAGGCAAACCAAGAAACAGCAAATATTAAAGCAGCACATGTTATCCAGGGAAGATGGAGTTAACAGACAGTCTTACTTGGGTATAAAAAATTGGAAATTTATTTCATATGCATACCTGTTCAAATTCCAAGAACTTTTGGAAGAATTTTTGTATGTACTTTTCCCATGTGCCTGACTCTTTGCTTATGCCAATCGTTCAAATCCTCAAAATAATTCACAAGTAAAGTATCATTTTCTCCTGCTAACAGATGAGGAAACCAAGGACTGGGGGGGGGGGGGGTGTGGAGGCATCTAGTGAGAGAAGACAAAGTTCCTGAATCTCGCTGTTAACCATGAGACCAAGGACCTAGGACTGAAACACTCCCATCATCAAACACACCAGCTTCTCACCTCCAAGTCTCGGGGGAAGAAGGCCTAGCCTGGTCACCCCTCTGGGGAGTCCCTTCTGCATTCTCACAGCATAGCACTGCTCCTCTTAGAGTCCTGGCCTATCCCTGGGGGGTTGCTTTCTTACAATATACCCCTTCGTGGTAGGAAAACCCAGTATTTGGAGTGTAAGTGATGGTTTGTAGAATGAATGATCATTAGTTCAGCTAAGCTCATACTTTCCCAGGGTTGAATAAACTCCTGGGATGGATCCATCTGTGGGATTTATTAAGTACCTGCTGCTTGCCCAACCCTGAAAGGGGATGACAAAGACTCTTCCATTTTAGAGGAGAGGAATAAAATAGTTGGAATCACTAGATGCCAGTGTGAGCCGTGTCTTTGGGAATGATTTCATTCTTCCTCCTAACTTGAAAGATGAAAGAAGGGCCAGAAGGCCACAAGTTTTCTTTTCTTTTTTTTTTTAAGATCTATTCTTTTATTAGAAAGTCAGGTATACAGAAAAGGAGGAGAGACAGAAAGGAAGATCTGCTGTTGATTCACTCCCCAAGTAGCCGCAATGGCCAGAGCTATGCCAATCCAAAGCCAGGAGCCTAGAGCCTTTTCCCAATCTCCCACGCAGGTGCAGAGTCTGAAGGCTTTGGGCTGTCCTTGACTGCTTTCCCAGGTGACAAGCAGGAAGCTGGATGAGAAGCAGGGCCGCTGGGATTAGAACTGGTGCCATGTAGGATTTCAGCAGGTTCAAGGTGAGGACTTTAGCTACTACGCTATGGTGCCTGGCCAGGACCAGAGGTTTTTTACAAGCCCTCCAGTAACTCAGCCTAAACCAGAGCCCAAGGTCTTTGTTGTTCAGAGAAACATAAACAGTAATTCTTTTTTTTTTTAAAGATTTATTTTTATTATTTTTTTATTGGAAAGGCGGATATACAGAGAGGAGAGACAGACAGGAAGATCTTCCGTCCGATGATTCACTCCCCAGGTGAGCGCAACGGGCCGATACTATGCCGATCCGAAGCCAGGAGCCTCTTCCGGGTCTCCCACGCGGGTGCAGGTTCCCAAAGCTTTGGGCCGTTTTTGACTGCTTTCCCAGGCCACAGGCAGGGAGCTGGAAGGGAAGCGGGGCTGCTGGGATTAGAACCAGCGCCCATATGGGATCCCGGGCGTGCAAGGCGAGGACCTTTAACCACTTGCGCCACCGCGCCGGGCCCAAACAGTAATTCTTTTTAAAGACTTATTTTTATTGGTGGTGCATATTTACAGAGAGAAGGAGAAACAGGAAGAAAGTTATCCCATCTATGAATTCACTCCCAAGTGGCCACAAAAGCTGGAGCTGAGCCAAACCAAAGCCATAGTCCAAGAGGCTTTCCCCTGGGCCTCCCACATAGGTATAGGGGCCTAAGGCTTTGGGGCTCTCATGCTTTCCCAGGCCGTAAACAGGGAGCTTGATAGGAAATGGACCAACAGGGCTCGAGCTGGTACCCACATGGGATCCCAGGATGGGCAAGGCAAGGATCTAGGCACTAAGCCATCATGCCATGCCCCAGCAGTAACTTTGCTAGCTGACATTTGGCTGAGGTTCAAATGCAGGTATTCAGGCCCATCTCTCTCTGGGCCTTCTGCTTCCTTGGTCTTTGCAGTGCTTTTGCTCCATGGCCAGCAATGGCGCTTCCTCTCCACTCCTTTTTTCTGTCACATTCCTCGTTTTACTCCTGTCCATGTGCCACCTTAGCCCATAATTTACGAGAGAGAGAGAGAGAGAGAGAGAGAGAGAGAGAGAGAGAAAGATTGGCTCAGCTCCAACCATTGTGGCTGCTTGGGAAGTGAAGCATCGGATGCAAGACCTTCCTCTCTGTCTCTCCTCCTGTCTGTATATCTGACTCCCAATGAAAGAAGAAAGGAAGAAATGAAGAAAGAAAAAAGAAAGAAAAAGAGAGAGAGAGAGAAAGAAAGAAAGAAAGAAAGAAAGAAAGAAAGAAAGAAAGAAAGAAAGAAAGAAAAGGAAAGAAGAACCTCCAAATCTGATCAACAAGAATGAATCTTGCTTGACCTCGAGCCAGGGATGAAACTCAAACCTTTGCTCTCCTTGCTCTCCACACACCTGGAAGAGAGGGCGCTCTGGACGGCTGCAGCCTCTGGTCTGGCTTTGTTTTCTCTCATTCTTTTATTAGCTGCCTAATTGGCAGCTCAATTAATCTGCTCATCTGTGAAGGAGGATGGATCGCAATGAGCTACTCCATTTCCAGAAGCCATTCTCTGAGGCAGCATGGCCAGGCCCTGAGTGCAGGCTGGCTCCTTGATGGAGGGCTGCCCCGGGAGCCAGGGTCAATTAGTGGACAGATTAAGCAATTATTAGCCCCTAACAAGGATGCCTGGCATCATTACCCTGCTTGTTTACTGGCAAACTGCAGCTCTCATATGAGGACCAACAAATAAATTAGGGCATCTGGTCTACCACTGCGTCGGCTGAGAAGTAAATGATGTTCAACTGGCTATTGGCTGCTGATGGTTTCTCAGCCTGGCACAATGGAAGGCCTGAGCTGTCCCTTGTGGTCACTTTGGAGTGAGCTCCAGAGCCACTTGTCATTCCAAGATGTGAGCACCTGCTGCTGGGCACATGGCTCCATCCTCTGCCACTCCCCACCTGCCTCATTCTAGAAACCTTCTTGCTGTGCCTTTTGAAAGATTGTCTCACCCTTCTGGACATTGCACCTGTATTTTGGAGCATCTTGAGCACTTTTGCAGGTACCTGATGAAGAAGCAGCCATGCAAAGAAGTCATGGATGAATGAGGGTACAGAGTTGCCAATGCCTCCCCCTTCTGCAGACGGAGGCAGACCACCACCAAAAGGACACCAAGGCCAGGGTGACAGGGTCAGATAAGCCCTGGTGGCAATGAAGAAGGTACTATGCAGGGCTGGTGGCTGTCCAGGCCAAGAGCTGGGTCCAGGTCAGATGTGGTGGCTTGACTGAGAAGACTGCCCAGCGCTAAGGTTCCTGCCATTCATGTGGGAGACATAGATACAGCTCCTGGCTCCTGGCTTCAGCTTGGCAAAACCCTGACTGCTGTAGGCATTTGAAGGCATTTGAGGGGGTGAGCCAGTAGAAGGAAGATTTCTTCTCTCTCTATCATTTCTCCGTCCAAATTCATGAATAAATATTTGAAAACAACTGTGTCTATTGTGGGGTATCTGTTCATTTGAGTCCACTATTATCCTACCTCTCCCCAGCCTTGATCTATCAGAACTTGCCAGGACCTCTGAGGCATGGCTCAAGGGCCAGCCCCTGTGTAAGCTCTCACTGTCTTTTCCAGCAAGAAAAGCTTTCTCCCTCCTGCACATGGGCTCTGGTGTTGTTTCTTGAGATGTCTCTCTCGGAAATTGAGCCGTACTTGTAAGATTCATTGAATTCTACCCAATCTCCTGCCAAATACTCATACTGGTTGATGTCAAAACAGGCCAAAAATCTCTAAGCAGAAAAAAGGATGCTGTGCTCCCTCCTTCCTGACATTCTTTGCCATTAACTCAGGTGCTTTTTCTTCCTAGGCATCATTGACTTCCTCATAAGCCAGCACCCTATTGCCCGTGTCTTGAGGCAGCACCTAGTCTTCAAGATTGCACCAATGCTCAACCCTGATGGAGTCTACCTGGGCAATTACAGGTGAGAGATGAGAGACTGCCTGGGAGCTATTAAACACAAGATAGTGTGGATGCAAAAAGCAACAGGGGGTATGTTTTCAAGAAAGAATTCACAGACCATCTGTGAGTTCACTTGAGGAAGTTTCACCTAGTTCTTTAGATAGTGGCTAATGAGCCTTAACTGTTTCATTCACAGCCACCTGCGGTCAGTTGCTGAGATGTCCTGGACAGTTCACTGGAGTAGGAATGCAGAGACTTGATATCAGTTTTGGCTTTTACTTCCTGTGTAGTCATGGGAGATTCACTTTTTATTTCTGATGCTTGGTTTCTTTTGCATAAGGGAAAATAACAACTTCTTAACCATGTAGAGCAGTTGAAAGCATCAAAGGAAAGTGAGCAGGAATGTGTTTTTGCAGAATCTCATATGGTAGTTAGAATGAACACCGCTTCACTGGTGTTTCCTCCTGGAACCAGTTTATGGAGCTAGTGACATCCCAGGAGGTTGGAATGTGTCTCCTTATGTGCTAGCACCACACCTGCTCATGCACTGTACCTTGAGCACTTTTTCTCCAAGTTTGGCACCGTAGTTTTCAGCCTAGAACCACTGCCTAGAGAATCATCTGCCAAAAGAACGGTGAATCCTTTGAGACTGTGGATATTATTACCTTTAGTTCACAGCCGAGGCACTTGACTTGCCTAAAGCCACATGGAGAGCAAATCATTGAATGTATAACTTCACTGCCCAAATTCTAAAGTCTCAGAGCTGAGTAACCCATGGCTTTCAAGATGACATCCAAACATGCTGCCTTTGCCTAAAATGTTCTGTAGAACCAAATGCCTACCTGTGCACCATTCTGCGTACCTGTCACCCTTTCCTCCCAGAACTGGTGCTCCAGCTCCTCTGAGGACAGCCCTGTGCCCCAGGAATGCCTTGCTGGTTCCTGCCCCCCACCTTCATACAAGTGGTTCCCTTCTCATCACTTCTTCATCTCATCAATCCTCTTTGCAAGTTAGCTCATGCCCATTTTTCTGGAAAACACTTCTGTTCCAACCCCAACTAAAATTGAACAAGGTCTTACCCCACTGCATGGACCCCATCACACTTAAAGCCTCACAGGGCAGGGACTTGCTCCCTAGTAGTTCCTGAGTCTGCAATGCCTGCCTGCAGAAATCAACGCATAGTAGATGCTCAGAAGGTACTGTGTGAATATGAGTTGATAAGAGAAATGAAATTAGCTGATAAAGAAACTGAAGCCCCGGGTTGAGATGAGACTTGTCCAAAGTAAATGGCTGAGCATAGGCAGACCAACTCTGATTCTCAGCCAGTCCAATTTCATACAGAGCTGGTTTGTCACTTTCTAGAAATATGGCAACTGTATTCAGAGGGGCTCCCCAGTGCCCTGGAGATGAGTTAGAGAGAGCTCATGGGATGCAGGGAACCTTCATCAAACGCAATTTGGCTTCCTCTCTTAATTGGCTGAAGTCCTGGCTCATTGGCATCTGCAGGTTTATGGCTTGCTGCAGACCTGAGAGCAGTACATTTTCACCTTGCCTAGACAGATGCACTGTTCCTGGTACTGGCGATAGAGAGGCTGTTTGATTGATGCGAGCATTTCTGTTTAATTACAAGACTGGCCATGGTCAGAGAGGTCAGCACTGCCACTCCACACACTTGTTTGTGCCATTGTCTGCTGTCTAGGCAAGCACCAGCTGGAAACAAGTCTGTGACCTTGGCCAAAGTGCCTCCCAACTCTGGGCTTCAGATGGTCAGCAGGGTGGTGATGGACTCCAGATGCTTTCTGTATATCTTCAAGCTGCAGTTTTTGTGATCTGAGGACCTCAGGAAAAAAAGAGTTCCAACCCTCAGATGCAAGGGTGCATTGAACCTGCACCCACAGCCCCCTACCTCTGTATTCTCCAATGAGAGTACCTATGTGATTCTTGTTCATTATGGGCATTGGAGGAGGTCTCTAACCACAAGCATTAATCCTGTGGTTGAAACAGGTCTGGGTAGCAGCAATGAACCCACAAATCATGAGTTCACTACTTGAAGCTTCAGAAGGTGAAAATAGTAATAAACATTCAGAGCTGAGAGCTTCAAGGTGCCTTAGGTGTCCCCTTGGGCCAGTCCCTTCCAGAGTCTCCTGGATGTCTCACTGCTTCCACAGTTTGGAGGGAAGTACCAAATCTTTGGCTAGGGACAGGGAAGTCAGAAGTCACAGTTCAAATGTATTTTAGAAGTGCACAGTTAATAAAATCGAACATATCCCTTCTATAATATGGCTTCACAATGCTGGGTGAGCTGGTAAAGGTTGGGAATCTCACCTCTAGGTGAGTGCCATGGTCCACATCTCCCATCACTAGTGTCACGGGGTTCATAAACACGTGCTGGTAACCACCTCTCAGGTAGAACCCAATACTTCTGAGAGTAGAACCATCAGGATTCTACCTGATGAGCCAGTGGTCTGTTAACTGCTCACACACTCACCTTGTGGATTCCTCACAACTCCATGAAAGAGGGACTCGGTCAGAGTCCTTCTGCTCACTGATAACAACAGTCTGTTCAAACTGGCATGAGTGCAGGAGGAAAGGGAGTGGGGAGGAGGTAGGAGAGGGATGAAGGGAGGCAATCCTGAGAGCCGGACCTCAGGGGCGTGATGGCATCTCTTGACACAGGGCCGAATGAACACAGGCAGCGGTGTCTCTGCCTCTCTCCCACACCCTAACTCTCATTCTTTCAATATCCCCCTTCTAAGGTGTAACTACTTCAGCCTCAGGGAAGTTCAAAACCTGCCGTAGGTTCTTGGCCTGTAAGGAGTCACCATGGCCACAGATCTGTCTGAGCTACCCGAGGTCCTCCCTGGCATACTTTATTGCTGCAACAGCCAGCACCAAACAGAGCAGACTCCAGGAACAGAACCAAGACAAGCTGTCCCAAGCCCCTTTCTGGGCTGGAGCTATTCAACAGGTTAAGTGCCCTCAATAGAGAAGGGAGGGGCCTGTACAGAGAGAGAATGAGCATCAGCGGTTGAGAACATGCTCTTGGATGTCAGATCAAGCCCTGTTCTGCCACTTACTTGCTATATGGCCTTGAATAAATTACACTGCTGCACTAGACTTCATTTTTCTCATCTGTAAATGGGGACACTGGAAAGAATTATGAGGCTTTTATGAAATGACGCACATTGTAAATTCTAAATTAAGGATATGTTCCTCCTTCCTCAACATTAAAAAAAAAAAAAAGCTGGTGAGCCACTGTAGGAAGAATAGTCAGGGAGCTTCCCAGATTTCGTCAGCTAAGCTTATAAATATACTGTGATACATACTGTGGTATTTATAGTAATGCAGGAAAGGTACTCTGCAGCGTTTAATAGCAATAGATGGCCACCGTAGCATGATAGACAAGGCATTTTTTCCCCTGAAGAGTGACAGCACTTACTAATCAGACTATTGTATCTGATACTTGACTATGATTATGCCAAGAGTACACAAGGCCCATAGTAAAGCTTGTAGCAACAATATCTGGTAACTCAAGTATACTCTACTGTAGTTATCTGTAACTAGGTACTAGGTGACATGCTAGCAGATAGCAATGATATTATAGTTTATGACGCAGACACAGGGCAACTGCAGCCCTGTCTTGCTTATTATTATGCTCCAACCACATTTACCTGTTGTCCACTGCAGGTCTTAGGTTTAAAGCCACTTTGAAAAAGAGCTTCTCAGACTCTGTAAGATATAGTACATCTCCCACCAAATGCTTTCTTGACACCTTATGCTATCCTTTCATGGTCTCAGTGTCATTCGCAGCCCTGTCTTTATTCATATGAATATTTAATGTTTGTCTTCACCTTTAGACAGTAAATTCCACGGAGCCAGAACTTTTTTGACCTTGTTCTCTGAACCCTAATGCCTGTCATGGTAAAGAATGAGCCCTTGGTAAATATTTTCTGAATGAGTAGATGAACTTAACAGCAGTGTTCAGTCAGTGCGCTGTAGTTGAAAGCTACAACTCCAGTGTAGAGGAGCAGTGGCTGGATACTGCCAGCCTGAGACCCCAAACCTTTCCCTGTGTGGCTTCCTCATACCAACTGTTTTCATCATCTGTTATTGTGCCATAAATCTGTTATGATTAACAGACTCTAGGTTCTCAGCCAAACCTTGCTGTTGCACAGACATTATACTTTCAAAGGCACTGAAAAACCGTAGTATATGATCACTAAACAACCCAGTGACAGAAGAAAGCCCTTCTTTATCACATGCCTTTGAGCACAAAGCATACTGAGACTGAGAAGAAGAGCCGGGCTCAGTGTCACAGGATGCAGCCCAGGGACTGTCTCCTCCCCTCAGTGTTGCCTTTGTTTTCCATGCTATAGGTGGTCCCTGGGAACTGGGGGTGCTCTCTCCCCACCTTCTTGCTTCTTCTTCGATTAAATGCTTCCCCCTGCCCCAACCTCCATTTCCCTCCTGCCCTTAGAAAATTGGAGAATACAGTGGCAAGACATGATTCATCACAGTGAAAACTCTGGGGAGACGTTCTATCAGGAATGGTGCAGCTACAGTACAAATGAACTTGGAGGACATTACACTCAGGGAGATGTTCCAGTCACAAAAAAGACAAATACTGTCTGATTCCGCTTCTGTGAGGTTCTTAAAGGACTCAGAGAGAGAGAAAGTTAGAGGCAGTTGCCCAGGGCTGGAGGGCACGGGGAGAAGATTGTGCAGTTCTTATTTAGAGAGTAGTTTTCCGTTTTGTAAGATGAGAAGACTTTGGAAGTAGTGATGCACTGTGGCAGTACACGATGAATGTATTTAACGACATTGCACACCTCAAAATGATGAAGATGGAAAATTTTATGTCAGAGTACCACATCACCACACTTTTTAAAAAAATACATTAGGGCTACTGACCGGGCAATGAGAGCACTTTCAGAGTTCTTGGGTGGTCTGGGAGTCAGGATTCTTGAGGGCTGAAATAGCAGGGACAGCAGAAGGGGAAGCTGCAAGGTAGTTCCTAGTGAG